CTTTTGCCGCTGAGCTAAATCCCCAGCCCCACAATGATTTGTTTAACCTTGAGTTTACAATCCTCGTGTCTCAGCCTCTTGGGTGCTGGGATTATGGGCGTGTCTTGGGTGATCCTTTAATTATCCTTGCTGGAATGTCTCGTATCCACCCATTTGTCCTAGCTATGGCCTTGGTTCTCGCTCAATAGAAGGTGTCTGAATTTGGTATTTGGGGGCTGCAGTCCAAGAGGCTGTATGCCCCCTGATCCCAGACTTTTGCTTCTCTTGCTTTTCTTTTCTCTTTTTTCACCCATGGGTACCTCCTTCTGGGGACCTGTTCACCCTGGACAGGGATGGCTGAGTAATCGGATATAATGGCACCAGGAACAGGGACCTGAGTTCGAAAGTCGAGCTAGAGTATGAAAATAAGTCTTCAAGACTAAGATAGGAAAATAAGTCTTTGAGACTAAGATATAAAATTAAATCTTCGAGACTAAGGCATGAAAATAAGTCTTTGAGACTAAGGCGTGAAAGTAAGTCTTTGAGATTAAGGTATGAAAATAAGTCTTCCAGACTAGGAAAGGGAATTAAGGAAATTAAGTCAGTGCTCAACCAACCGGAGAAGAGCCGATGGGTGGGAACTTGACAACGAAAGGAGTCTTCGAGGCTACATAAAAAGGAATTAAGTCAGTGTTCAGAGGTCGGGAGAAGAGTCGATGGATAGGTAAGCCTGGTCTCCGGGATGGTTTATCAGGATTACTATGGGTAATTTTCTGTCTCAAAAAGAAGCTAAATCAGAACAGGAGATCTTGCAGGATACAAGAAGTAAAAAATGCAAAGACAGATCCGATTCTGAATCGGATCATAGTTTGCCTGAGGAAACTATCGGTTCAGGGGCAGGGACCAGTTACAGAGCAGGAAGGAAGGTATGGGTCTTTTGGACCTAAAAATGACTATAAGAAAAATAAATTAGATTGTCCTCCGCCTCCTTTGGTCTCTCAAGCATATCGGTACAGCCCTCAGCCCCAATATATAAGTTTAACCCTTTTAGGGATCCACCTCAGTTAACTGTTCAAAGACCACTACGCATGACTACAGTCATGAAGGCTTTTGCCCAAGCCAAACAGGAAGGAAATTTGGATGCTTGTAAGGCTTTTGCTGTGTACCCAGTTACAGTTACCGAACTAGCAGGTAATGAGGAAAATCCCCAAGGTTATGTTCGGCATAGTCCTGTATCAGTATCTTTTAAAACTATTAAAGAATTGAAGCAGGCTTGTGTTTCATATAGGGTGAATTCTCCTTATACCTTTGGGTGGTTTTCAGGTCATTGAAAGTGCTAACGAACCTTATGTAGAATTTATAGCTAGATTAGAAGTACTTCAGAAAAGTGTCTCAGCCTGTATTGAGAGAATTATTATTAGAAATGTTATGATAATGCTAATACACAATGCAAAAAGGTTTCAAAGCCCTTGAAATCTCAGGATGCTACTTTGGATGAGTATATGAAAGCTTGTTGGGATATAGGATCAGAAACCTTTAAAGCAGGGTTGCTTGTAGCTGCCTTGAAGGGAAAGAGCACTTTCTCCCAAAAGAATGCTGAATGTTTTGAGTGTGGTAAAATTGGGCATATGAAAAAGGAATGTAGACTAGCAAAACAAAGAATGGACATCCAGATAGAATAAAAGGGTAATACTCCTAAGGATCCTTTGCCTGCTAAGGTCTGTCTGAGATGTCAGAAAGGATGACACTGGCTAGTCAGTGTCGATTAAAATATCATTAAAATGGCACTCCTCTGAAAGTTTGTATATATGTATATGCAGGATAGTTAACACGGGTGTTCTACTGTCCTGTATTCCCTTGCTGAAAGAAACTGTCAGTGAGGCATTGGTTGATTAGCTTTGTATGTCTATATGTGTTTTCATGAGAAACTACATTGACGATATCAATATATACAATAAGCATTGTTAATTCCCTACCACTCTGTTTGTAACTCTGTAATGTCTGTACTGATCCTATGCTATTTTGTAAAATGTTGTTGGTCTGTTAGTATTTTCCTCCTTTAATTTCTAAAATTAAAAAAAAAAAAAAAAAGGCACTCCTGATACTGGCGGGAAACTTCCGCTCAGGCCCAGCCTGGGGGCCCAAGGGACATACAATACGGGGTTTCCAGACATTTCCTGTCAGCAAGGGCTATGACCACGCCGAGCTCAGTCAGTGATCTCTCTGCCACAACCAGGGGTAGTACAGCATTAGATATCCCCTCGCTAGAGAATGTTATGATATGCTCTGCTTTAGGAATTCAGAAGATTAGAAATGGGATTTATGGGCCTCTCCCTGAGGGATCTGTCGGTTTGCTAGTAGGAAAAAGTAGTTTGACTTCTAAAGGGACTATAGTACAAATGGGGGGTGACAGACTCTGACTGTAAAGATGAGATCCAGATTATGATGCAGACCTTACAACAATATCCTTTGGGTTGTTTACACAGGAGAGCGTGTAGTCCATTTATTGATTCTTCCATATATAAAAGGCCGTGCTGCTCCTAGAAAGAGTGTAGGGGGTCTTGGAAGCACCAGAAAAAAGATTTTTTTGGCAAACTTGCATAGGGGACGAAAGTTACAACTGAGTCACAAGTGAAAATAGACGGAAAAATTTTTATGGCATTGGTAGACACCGGAAGAGATGTGACTATAATTTCATGGCTACATTGTCCTAAACTTTGGCCTACCATGAAGGTCCCTACAGTTTTCTCTGGTGTTGGAACAATGACAGATGTTCACCAGAGTGTTAACATTCTTCAGATTTCTGGTGCAGAAGGACAAACAGGCACTTTAAAGCCATATGTTGCTGATATAGCAGTGAATCTATGGGGAAGAGATTTATTAATGCAGTGGGGAACATACATGAGGTTCCACATATATCTTCTCAGGCAAAGAATATGATAGCTCGTATGCATTATAATCCTTGTGAAGCCAATAGTTATGTACAAGCTCCAGTCATTTCCTAAAGGACATGTGGTTTAGGGTATCCAAATTTATGGTAGAGGCCACTGTAGAAAAAGGCTTCGCTTTGCCTTTAAAATGGTTTACTAATAAGCCAATTTGGGTTGAGCAGTGGCCTCTTCTAAAAGAAAAATTAGCAGCTCTAAGATCGTTAGTACAAGAACAACTGTCAGAAGGACATATTGAAGAATCTACGAGCCCCTGGAATTCCCCTGTATTTGTGATTACAAAGAAATCAGGTAAATGGAGAATGCTCACAGATCTTAGAAAAATTAATGAAGTTATTCAGCCCGTGGGTCCATTACAGCCTGGATTACCCTCTTCTGTTATGATACCTAAGAATTGGAAGTTAATTGTTATAGATGGTAAGCACTGTTGTTTTACCATTCCATTACGACCCGAAGACAGAGAAAAATGGATCCTGCCTTTCGTCAGTAGACTGACTACAAAAAAAAAAAACAGAAAACCTAAAAATTTTCTTCTGCTTTGGTTTGCGGTATGTCATCTAGGTTGTCCCTAGACGGTAGGATGTACTATCCTGCCATAAGGATATTGAAACTGAAAATTTGTCCTTAGTATGACAGAACAGCCTCTACACTGTAGAGTGTGACAAGTAATGAAAAGTATGATCAAGGAAATTTGAGGAATGAATGGCCCATGAGTCCACTTCAGTTTAGATTCATTCCAATTTTCTATGGTCTCTTTACTTAATATCCCACTGCTGCCCTGCTTTCCAGCACTTGTGTTGAGAAAACGTAGGTAGGAAGAAGAAAGAATGTCCCTCTTCGGGCATCTTCATTTAGGCCAGTGCTCGTCAAGGCCGAATGTGGAGCTGATGTCTCCTTGGTGCTAAGACAGCACCCACCATTGCGAGGCAGGGAGATGGGAGCGCCCAGCCACATCCCAGTACAGAAACTTGTCTGTCCAGTTGCTTTGCTCCCTATACGCAGTAGATACTTAATCCCCTAAACGTTCCGTCTCGGTGATTAAGGGATCTGGCCACGTGGTTACTGTCCACCAGAGAGGAGCTGCTAACACCCACAGTGTCGTTATCGGCAAGTCCCCAAGGGGGCGGTGAAGCGCTACTGAGGCGCTTCGGCCCGTAAGCTTTCGAAAGATCGCCTCAAATATCCACACTCTGTCGCCAGCCCAGAGATGCTGGAAATAATCTCTACACCTTCGAGAACCACTACGGCCTGTGCTTCGGCTTTCGGTGACGCCGCTTCCCTGTCTCCAACTTCTGGGCCGCCTCAGGGCTGCGTCGTGGGGCGGTCTGCAGCTCTATGGGTCGGCGCGGGCTAAACCGACAACTAAATTCTCCGGCTTGACAGAAGGAAACCAACAGGCCCTTTAAACTTCTCACTCCGTCGCCCTGAGGGCTCCTTTTGGAGGTACGATTGAGAACGGGTACCAACCCGCTGAACCAAACAGCGCCAGGTATCGCCCTCGTCCAACTCCGGAGCCGGGCAGTATCCCGGCGTCCCCTGGGCGGGCGCTGCGGATGGGCCGCTCCGGCCGGCGTCTCTATGGTGCTGGCCGACGGGCGGGGCCGCTCGCCCGCAGCTCTGAGAACCGCGGGTGGGTACGGCTTGCGCTGCTGCGAGCGGGCGGCCGAGGGGCAGCGGGGCCGCACGGACGCTGCGCCTCCTTGCGCTCCGAGGGAGGTCGAAGGCGGGGCCCACCCGAAACCGCAGTTCGGGGAAAGGGGCCGGCCTGGAGGGCGGGAGCGCGGGTCCTCTAGCGAGGGAGCTGTGCGTGACCCGTGGGCGGGCGCCGTCCCGAGTCCCGAGAGCTGTGCGGAGCGGGGTGTCCGCGCGCCTCCCTGGCCGGTGCGTTCCCGGCCCTCTCGGGCTCCGCCGCCCGGGGCGGGGCGGGGTCTGGCCGGAGGAGCCCGCAGCCACCCCTCCCCGACAGCTAGCGAGCCCTTCGCGCGAGCCCGCTGCCTAGCGCCGCGCTCGCTGCGCAGCACGGTGCGCACAGACTCCAGGGCTTCCCGCACCATTTAAAAAACCCACATTCTCAAAGTTACCGCATCGTACCGTCCTCCGAAACGCATAATTCCATCCTTTGGGAATTTGCCGAGATATGCAACACGTCGAGATTAAGAATTGTATGTTCTGTTTGTAGCGCGGATAGGATCCATTTTATGCCCAGAGCTCTGACGGCTATAAAAAGTTCAGAGAAAGTGAACTTTGGTAATTAGCTGCACTAGATATGGCGTAGACATTGATATTGTAGCATTAAAGAAATTAAATGTGTTTCACAGCAGCTACAGTTCAGCAAAGTGTATTTTTAAAAGAAACAGTAGTTTTGGGGGTTTTGTGCTTTTACCTCAAGTTTTTTAAATAATTTGTGACAGCGGGGAGGAGGGAGTGTTGAAGCAGAAGATGACATTTACATTGGGAATTTGTACTTATTTTAGCGGCAAAATATAGCACCAATAACAGTGACCAGTACATGATAGCATGTAATTAAAGTGACTAGCTAATTATGCGTTTGGAGAGTTGAGGGGATCACTACTTTGTACCCTTTGAAGTCCCCATTGTTGGTGGCATTTACCTTAAAGGGAATGGGGTGTGACAAAATTTGGCTGTTGTAGAAAGTGGCTTCTGTAAGTCATAGATAAAAATTGGTATGAGTGACTGTCTGTAATGGTAGAAAAGTCATCCCAGATAATGTCTTTAGTTTGTAAATTGAAGATTGTTTATGTGCTTATCCCTTGTATTAGTATAATAAAATATGTATTAAATACTATGAGTACATTAGACTCTATGCATGGCAGGCTTAAAAGAAAATGATGTTGCACTTATGGAACTTTTCAACAAAAGTAAATGTGTAAAAATAAGCACAAAGCTTAGGAGTTTACCAAGTCCTGGAATCTGTTTAATTTGTAGAGGGACGAACAAGAGTGGAGAAGGAAGGAAAAATCCTTAAGAAAAATGGTACACATAGGTGTCTGTATCAGTCCACTTTTCATTGCTATAATGAAATCTGTGAGGTGGTAGCTTAATGAAGAAAAAGGTTTATGTAGCTCACAGTTTTAGAGAATCAAGGGTAAGGCCCCTCATTTCTAGTGAGAACTTGTCAACTATATCACATGACAGTGGATGGTAATAGCAAGAACATCTGATCACATCTCAGTACAGTATAGAAAGCCAAAGTGCTGAGTGGGCCCAGGTTAAGGCCCTTATAACTTTCTTAATGACAACTACCAAGGGGCCACAAGAGAACTACCCTAATCTGTTTCAAGGACAGGACTTCCAGTGACCCAAGAGCATTGCACAAGGCCCATCCTCTTAAAGATCCCAGGATTATACCTCCCAATCCTGCCACCCTGGGGACCAAGCTTCCCAGTACACAAATGTTTATGAGTGACATCCAAACACAGCAATGTTCTAGTCAGAGACAGTAATTAATACAGGAAGTGCACTTCTTAAATTTCTTTCTCAGAATCTAAGCCACAGATGTGCACCAAAGGTTGGAGTGGAATACATTCCAGAAATGTGTGTTTTTTTTTATTCTTTTTTTTTCTTTTAAAAATAAAAGGAGGAAAACATTAATAGATGGGCAACCTTTTACAGAATAGCAAAAGAACAGTACAGACAATACAGAGTTACAAAGTGGTAGGAAATTAACAATGCTTGTTGTATTACATATTGATGTCTTCAAAGTGGTTTCTCATGAAAACAGATAGAGACATGCAATATTGATCAATCAAGGACTCATTAACAGTTTCAGCAAAGAAATAGAAGACAGTAGAACAACTATGTTAACTATCCTGTATATACATACATACAAAATTTCTCCTTCTTTCCCTTCTCTTTTCCCACATGCCAGTTGCCCTTTACCCTTGAGTGTTTTCCTATCATTTCACAATGTCTATCATACCTCCGAGTTTAAATTAACTCTTTCAGGTTTTACACTACTGAGACAATGCGGTGCTTGCACATGCAGGTCTGATTTACAGAAATGTGTGTTCTTGAAATCACGCTTATACCTTCTTGAAAACAGAAACAGTACTGTTCTAGGTACTGTTGCTGCATCACAAGTCTCACTAACATTTGGAGGCTTATAACAGTAAGTAGTTATTATCTCCTTTCTGTGGGTCTTTGGAAGAGCTTAACTGAGTGATCCTGGCCCAGGGACCTAAGAAATTGCAGTCCAGATTTTGGCAGGAGCCGCGGGCCTTCTGAAGGCTTGATTGGAGCTGAAGGATCTGGTTTCAAGCAAGTTGTTTTATAGTTTACATTTATAGAAATCAGTTGCCTTTTGCATATTGTATAATTTGCATTTATAAAATGCATTTATAAAATTTATAATGTTTTATAAACTACATTTATAAAATGCATTGTCTGTGTATGTGTTCCTATTCATAAACTATTGTTAGCTTTCCATCACTATGACAAAATACCAAGAGAAATCAGCTTAGACACAGGAAAGATTTATTTTGACATAGTTTCAGAAATTTCAGTCCATAATCACTTGGACCTCCTTCTTGCGTTGGACCTGTGGAGGCACAGTATCTCATAGCAGGAGCAAATGGTAAAGACCTGTTTACTTCATGACAGCCAGGAAGTAAAGAGAGAAACAGGAAGGGGCAGGGTGTCAATGTCTCCTTCTGGGGTATGCCCCCAGTGACATAACTTCCTTGCACTAGGCCCCACCTCAAAGATACCACCACTTTCTGGTAGTGCCAGAATCTGAATAGTTATGATACAGTTATTTGGAAATTGTGTTTTCCTTTTTCATGTCACTTTAAGGTTGGATCATCATTTAAATATTTGAAGTAATATTTTGGTTTTTCTACTTCACTTATGGTACCTGTTAGCTACCTGGTCATCTTAGAATCTGAATTCATCATTCCTAATCCTTTTAGAATATGAAGTCATCCTTTAAGTGTGAGGTTAGTAAGTTAGCCATGGCGGTGGCAACAGTACTGGTATGGGGAGGGGAAGGACTGAGGCAGGAGGCAGCCAGCTCTATTAAAAAAATAACATTTAAATAAATGCTGCAGTCATGAAAATTGTTTCATGAGTGAGAGATGTAAAATGAGGAGTTTTAGTGACATGAAATTTTGTAGTTTTTAATTGACCTTTTGTTTTGGTCTGCCATTTGGAATGAGATTTGAAAATAAATAAATTTGTAATTAAGTGGATATGTAAGCCTACATAGTTTATTTCATATAGAACTCCAAGTACTATAGACTTCTTATATGTCAACTAATATGTAAATGAATTATACTACACATTTGACTTGTGAGATTGTACATAATTGTATCAATGTTAACTACTATATTTTTGATGTTTTTATTCATACATATTTACAATGTTAAAAATAGCTCTGCTTTTTTATTACACTTAAGAGGGTGACATTAGCATGGTGTTCTCAGTTGGTTTATTACTTCTGGATTTAACTTTTCAAAGTAGCCTTATTATTTTATTTAAATTTTAATTTTCATTAGTACATGTTTGCAGCATATAATGAAAACTTTTATCATGGGGAGTTAGTACGTTACATAACACATCTTAATTTTTTTTGTTTTTGTTTTTGTTTTTCTCCGGTACTGGGAACCGAACTCATGACCTTGCGCTTGCCAGGCAGGCGCTTTTGCCACTGAACTAAATCCCCAGCCCCCCCCCTTTTTTTTTTGTCTTTTTGAGACAGGGTCTCACTATGCAGTACAGGTTGGCCTTGAGCTCACTTTGTAGCCCAGGCTGTTCTCGAACTCTCCATGATCCTTCTGCCTCAGCCTCCCGAGTGCTGGGATTACAAGCATGCACCACCACACCTGGCCTTAATTCTTTTTGTGTCCCTACCCTTCTCACCATCCCTACTCCTTCCATCGCTTGCTCCCTTTGCAAAAGATCTCCTTACTTGCTATTATAATCTTTTATTTTGCTCTTTATATTTTGAGTTTCTCATAAGAAAAAACATACAGTATTTAAGCTTGTGTGTCTAGTTTATTTCACTTAGTATTATCGTCACAAGGTGCATCTCTATACCTACAAATGACTCAAGTTTATCCTTCTTTATAGCAGAGTAGTACTCCATTGTGTATAAATACCACTCCATTGTGTATATAACCCATTTGGTTAATCCATTTGTGTTGATGGATATATAGGCTGTTTCTTTGTGGTCATAATGGTACAACATTGAAAATGCCTGGAGTTATAGCAGATCGGAAGTCTGGCAGCTATGTTGATTGGAGACGAGAAGAAAAACAAACTGAAACCCTTGGAGACAAAACAGAATCTGCATTAGCCTCACAAGTTCAGTTTCGATGCAGTGGATGACCTGCAAGAGTAATACTCTTGGGCTGGGGATTTAGCTCAGCGGCAAAAGCGCCTGCCTGGCAAGCGCAAGGTCGTGAGTTCGGTTC